TCCAGTTGATGGGCACTTGGGCTGTTTCCAAGCTTTAGCTATTATGAACTGTGCTGCTATAAACATGGGTGCACATATATTGCTGTGGTGTGATTCTTTTAATTCTTTTGGGAAGATACTCAGCAGGGGAATAGCTGGGTCAAATGGGACCTCTAGTCCTAGTTCTTTGAGGTATCTCCATACTGACTTCCACAGTGGTTGCATCAGTCTGCACTCCCACCAGCAATGGAGAAGGGTTCCTTTCTCCCCACAACCCTGCCAGTATTTGTTATTTGTTGATTTCTTGATAGCAGCCATTCTTTCCGGGGTGAGGTGGAATCTCAAGTGTTTTCATCTGCATCTCTCCAATGACCAGTGGTGTTGAACATTTTTTCATATGTTTATTTGCTGCTTTTACTTCTTTGTCTGAGAAATGTCTGTTCATTTCAGATGCCCATTTTTGAACTGGGTCTTTCAATTTGGGGGGGGGTCTGATTTTTTTCATTTCTTTATATATTCTAGATAGAAGTCCTTTGTCTGAGTTATAGCTGCTAAAAATTTTTTCCCACATTGTAGGTTGTCTGTTAGCTCTGTTGGTTTCTCTTGCAGTGCAGAAGCTTTTTAGTAAGATGAGATCCCAGTTGTTGATTCTTTGGAAGCATGCTTTATATACCTGGCATTATCCTAGGCAGTGGGAATACAGTAGAAGACCCCACTTACAAGTTGCTCAGTCTTGGCACAACAGCAATTAACAAAAGGATTCCTTACTTTCCTGCTGGTGCTTGGGCTGGCAGCTTTCGGAAAAACAATGGAATGGATTCTTTCCTGAATATTCATAACTATTCTATTCAATGACAAGGAAATTAATGGTATCAACTGCTTTTCTAAGCAGGAGTCTGTGATTTCTGCCTCTGTCCCTAGGAAAAGTACCAGGCACAAAGAAATCATGCTAATTCAGTTATGTAGTTGCAAAGAACTAACCTCTCAGAGTGTGATCATCCAGTGCCCTAGGGTAATTACAGGAGAGAAGTGTGGCTTCTATCAGAGAAGGGCTCAGATGCATGTGTTGACATTGTTTCAGAAGTGGGTTGAAGAGTGTAAATCTTGAGTGAGAAGGCATCTTATTTCAGACACGTTTTCTTGTGATTAAAATATTTCATTCACTAACAATACATATGTCTTATATATGAAAAGAGCTATGACTTTTATATCAATAAGTTCTCTGCAAATCTGGGGCAATCACTTAACACCAACTTGAAAATAAATACTTTTTTTTTTTTTGGTACCGGGGATCGAACTCCAGTCCTTGCGGTTGTACAGCAGGTGGTGAGAAAATAAATATTCTTAAGAAGGAGTCTACTGGGTCTCCAGGGAACTATATTCAGAACTTTGTATTGAGGCAGAGGCATACTTCATTTAACATGAAAAAACAAAACACTACAAAAAAAAAAAATCCAACCCAACAAAACAAAAACAGTTTCTATGAGATTTCAGAGAGCATATACTTGATGATAACTTAAAACAAGCCTTGTTATATTTATTTTTTTTGTGGTGCTGGGGATAACACCTAGGGTCTCACAAATGTTAGGCAAGTGCTGTACCACTAGGGTACACCCCAAGGCCCCAATCTTGTTATAATGGAGGTCTATGTTTTCTTTACATGTATAGTGTTACCTCCCCAATGCTTTGTGTTAAAAATGTATTTGTAAAATTTGATAATTTAATATTAAACACAAATTCACACCACTATAGTGTAGGATTTGTTTTATTTTAATTATTTTTTCCTTTAAGCAAAGGTTTAGTTTCCTCAGTAGCAGATGTGAAAAAAATACCCACAGGCATGTGGCTGATGTGCCACAGAAAAAGTTGAACAAACATAAGTCAGAGTTCTTCAACTGTAATGTAAGCTGGTCAGCAACAGAAGAAAGACTTAAGGCAGAAAGAGGCATTACAGAGAGCAGCACAGTGCTCTTTGAGTCAATCCCAAAGCATTCCAAGAAGGAAAAGGTATCTCAGTAGTTCTGGTTCTTAGTTCGCTAGCTCTCAGAAACTGCTTCCTCCTCATAGTCACCCTCATCTTCCTTCCCGTCTAGTTCAGAGGTATCCGATGACTCATGTTGTAGGACATACTCTCTACTGCTGAACCCAAATTTAAATACATCCTTTTCTTTTAGTTCATAGTATCTCTGTGGCTCAATACGCTTGTTATTCAAGAAAGTTCCATTGCCTGAGGCCAAGTCAGTGATGTAGGGCTTCACCCTTCGGCCAACAGTAGCAACAGCATGAGTATATTCCACAAGCCTGCATACTGAAAGACTTCATGCTGCTTTGAACATGATGGATGATCGACGGGAATGTCTGCGATGCGCGGGTGCCGACCCAAAAGGTAAGCACTTCGTCGATGGATGTACATGACAGGGAGTACCTCATCATTTTTAAACGGGTAGAGACGCCACCGTTTTTTGGGGATACGAGCTTCTGGGGGCTCACTGTACTTAATGATTACATCCCGGAAGGTGTTAGTGTCCTCAAGAAGGGCCCCAGAGAGCTCAAAGCTTGGTTTTTCTTTAACAGGCACCTCTTTGTCTTTATTGTTGCCACCAGGCCGACGCACCAACTCCTGAGCACCACTACCACTTCCGCTGCCTTCGCTCTTCTGGCGGTGCTCCCGTCGCCTGGCATTGTAGAACTCCCGCTTTTCTTCCTGAGCCTGCAGGTTCTGGCTGTCTCGCTCCCGTTCCTGAGGTGGCCCACTCCCAGGTCTCTCACCAGAGCTTTTCCTTTGGCGAGAATGGCCCTGGTGTCTGTCTCGGTCACTGTTGTGACCCCCGCTGTGTTCCTGATTGGATGGTTCTCGGTGCTGCCGATCCTCCCGTCCTCTCTGGGGATGATCCTCACGTTCCTCTCACTTTGACTGTTGAGTGGTGAGGACTTCGGCTTCTCTTACTCCGAGGAGATTTGCTTCTTCTCCCTGAGGACTTGTTTTTCTTTTTGGCCGGGGACCGGCTGCCTCCTCGGGCTCGGCTGCTGCGGTGGTCAGGGCGGCCGGGCTCTCCAGCCGGCGGCGACGGGCTACCGCCAGAAAAGTCCGATCGACGGTGGGCGGCAGGAGCGGACTTTGGGCTGAGGCGCTCCTGCTTCACCACTACCGCCGCCGCTGGCATCGCTACGTCCCCGTCACGGTGCCTTCGCCGGCTCCCCGGCTCCCGTTCGCTCTTCACCTCCTTCATTCTGAGAGTTTGGCAGAGCCAAAGAAAAATGTACCATTCCGCAGAGCTCGGTGAGGAAATGACGAACTAGAGCCCTGAACTTCCGCTTCCGTCTGCGGTCTCCCAGGATTTGTTTTAAAGGGAACCTGACAGCTTTGTTTTTTTTACCTATTTCATTAGGCTGAGTTCTTTTCTCTTTATAACACAGATGTTTAAAATTAAAATTAAGCAGAAACAGCCCCGCCCGCTGGGAGGTCTGACTGCGCCTGCGCAACGCCCGCGGCGGCCCGGGACGGGTAGTGGGCGGGGCCGTAAAAATTAAAATTCAGAAAAAAATTAAAATTCAGACCTACATCTAGATATTTTTTAGGGTGGTACCGGCCCACATCTAGAATTAAAAAAAAAAACAATCTAAGGTTAAGAACCACTTTCTGTATGTCTACACCCTTACACTGTAATTTCCAGGCAGGTGAGATGCATTGCCTCTAGACTCCTTTCAGAAAAGTATCAACAATGTGCTTTTCTCCTAACCCTATTCTTTTCCAACATTTTTTTGTAAAAAAGGAAAAAAGAAACCCGCAAACAACAATGTGCTTTTCTCTGCTTCATGCAGTTTAGGTCTAAAGGCAGCCTATTTCTCTTTGCTTTTTACTTTCCCAAGTTAACCTAAATACAACCTGTGTGAGATGCAGTCATTTAAAAAAAATGGGAATACTTGAATAAATCACTTACTGCCGCATAAGAAAGCAAATTTGACGCACCAAAATAGTGCGGGCTGGAAACATCATGTACTATAGCAAACCTGTTTAATTTGCAAGCCTCTTGGCAAGGAGGAGGAAGGACTGGAAAAATTCAGGTGAAGACTTCTAATGACTAGTCAGACTATGAGTCACTGAAAGTTTCCAGTTAACGATCCCTTCTGCCTGGGCAGGACCTGGGCCCCAGCCCTTTACAAGCCACATTGCAGTTTAAGTTGTAACATCTCACGGTTTTATTGTCTCTTCTCCAAATGATAAAATGAAAGACATAAAATCCAAGACGCTTTGCATTGGCTTTGAAATGCAGGGCAAAATCTGGCTGGAGGAGGGGAGGAAACTGGGGAGACAAGGTAGGGAGGGTGTGAGGCAGAGAAAGCAGAAAAGGTGGTGAAAAGAAAGGGAAGAAATCATTAGGAGATAGGCGGTCCCCTCCTTCTCCCATGAGGTCTGCTGTGTTTTCCTTCGTCCACTGCCCGAGTGGGCCCTTCCTATGGATCCTTGGTCCAGCCGTGAGTCTCACCAGGACCAGTCCCCGCCCCCACCCGGTGACAGGTGGGGCAGCCAAGCTTCCACCAAACCTCCGCTAGCTCGCGCTGCCTGCTGGGAGGCGACCCGCTTCCGGTTGCGCCCGGCCCCTAAACTTCGACTCCCGTCGGCCCCTGGGGAGGGGGGGGAGGAAAAACGCAGCGGGGTCGCGCAGGCGCCGCCGGAACTCGTAGTTCGGTGTTCTGCCGTGCTCTGTAGCCGGAAGCGAACGCAGACAGGGTCGGAAACTACCGAGGCGAAGGTACGGATGGTGGGGAGGGGTCGGTCTGCGCCGGGCGTGGGGTTGGCGGTGAAGCAGACGGCAGTGGTTGCGTTGGATGGGAGGAGGTCCGCACGCACACACGAGGAGGAGGAGGAGGGTTGAGCTCCCGCCGCTGCCGCCGCCGGCTCTGTCGTCTCGAGTGCAGAGTTCATATTAGAGCTGCCGCCGCGGCGACGCCGCAGATTGTGTCGCTAGGCGCCGGCCCTTCCGTCTCGCCGCCTTTCCTGGGTCAGCGAGGCCCGCTCCTCCCCAGCCGGACGCCCCCGCCTCCATTTCCCGCTCTCTCTTCATCACACACACGGCCCCCACGATCATGGATCCCGGCAGTGGCGGCGGCGGGAGCAGCTGCGGGAGCAGTAGCAGCGACTCGGCGCCCGACTGCTGGGACCAGGCGGACATGGAAGCTCCCGGGCCTGGCCCTTGCGCCGGCGGCTCTGCGGCGGCGGCCGAGGCCCAGCGTGAGCACCTCAGCGCGGCCTTCAGCCGGCAACTCAACGTCAACGCCAAGCCTTTCGTGCCCAACGTCCACGCCGCCGAGTTCGTGCCGTCCTTCCTGCGCGGCTCGGCCCAGGCACCGATACCCGCAGCCGGCGCCGCGGCCGACGACAACCACGGAGCGGGCAGCGGCGCCGGAGGCCCCTCGGGTAAAGTGCTGGGGCTCGGGGCAGCCGGAGTCGGGACGTGCGGCCCCGGGGCCGGTCGCACGTGGGACACTGACAGCAGTGGTGCCGGCCGGTCTGGGTGGGGTGGCCTGAGCCTTGGGCGGGCCTGCGGGGGTGTCAGGTTTGGGCGGGGAGGGGGCGAGGCCCGCCCCCCGCAGGCAGCCCTGGGAGTGGGAACCGTATGGGACGGAGAGGGGCGGCGGCGGCGGCGAGTCAGTGCCACGAGGCCCAGAAGGGACGACAGATGGAGCCAGGAGTCCGTCGGTATCAGGTGGCCGTTGAGAGAGTCGAAGGGGTGGGGAGGATGGGTGCTCGAGTGGTCCCTTCGCCTTAGGCCTAGCCAAAGAGCTTCTGCTGTTATAATTTCCACTATTGAAAGTGTAATTACGTTTCACATGTCTATGGCTCCGAACCTTCCTAAAGGAATCCCAGGATGCATTGCAGTCTAATGATCGGCCAGAAACTGTTGGCTATCAATACAAAGATTTTTTTCCCTTAGCATGTTGTATGCTTAAAAGTTCAAAAGTATCAAAAAGTTAAGATTACTGACTTAAATATTAACGTTTGGTAGGAAACTACTTTGATTTGTGTGCTATTTTTCTTGGTAGAGTTTTCTCCTTTGTTAATGACACGTTTAGCATTTTCATCCTTGACCTTGCTCATGTTGTTTGATATAAAACTCACTTTGTTTTCAAGTGTTACATATCTAATAAGTCTATATCTTGAAACGCTTGAGCATTACTTTATAACTATATAGTTGTCACATGCCTTTCTAACCATTGGAAGGAAACATACTTTCTGTGATTTCAAGTTAAGTTCTGTCTTTAATAATATATTTAGAGGCTGCTTCAGTGGTAGGTAGTATGCTTACAGGTGCTGATTTTGTAGGCTGTCCAAGGAGTGAATTTAAGTATTCTTCCCATAAATGGTCCTTATCTAGGGAATGATCGGCATTGCCTTAAAAAGAAAAAGGAAGGAAAAGCTGAATATCCTTTATTATTTAGTGAGAATGCTTTTGGTGTTCAGTTTCTTCAGAAACTTGGAAGCTGTAAAGGATGGAGTTTGGAGAAATATTTTTTATGAGGAATGTATGTGAACACGCAATTTGGAATGGGTTGTTTTATTGACTTTGGTATTTGTTTTATTTGTATGGGTGGTTGTTTTCTTTTTGAACAAGGAAGCTTAGGTTTTATTTCTTTGCTTATTACATCAAGCCATTTCGGCAACCTAAACTAGTTTGCTTTTCAGTTCCTAAAAGTGCCTGTTTCCTTGTACCTTGTCTTGTAGATTCCATTCATCCAGGCCTTTTCTTTCTTGTCAACCCCTTAGCCCCCTTTATTCTGGAGCAACCAGCACCAGTGTGACTAGACTTGGGACTCTATTTACAGCCTAAGCATCAGCCAAGTCAGCAAGCGACATCTGTTTATAGAGCCATGATTTGGAATGGTCATTGTTGACTAATTATCACCTGTGATACAGTAGTAGTTTTTTCTCTTACTGATACTTGCTAATTTGTAGTTTTAATGCTTTTGTCTGATGCTGCTAGTAGTTGGAGATATATAAAAATGTGTAGGGGCTGGGTTTGTCGGTGCATGCTTGTAATCTCAGCACTCTGGGAGGCTGAGGCAGGAGGATCACAAGTTTGAGCACAGCCTGGGCAACTCAGTGACTTAGTGAGGCACTAATTTAAAACAAGAAGAGTTACAAATATAGCTCAGTGTGAAAACTTTGAGTTCAGGCTCCCAATAATTCAAAGAAAAAACAATCTTCTTTAGGATGTCTTATTTGGAAAGGAACAGATTTTCTACATTGAGGTGTACAGTTAAGTGGGACTGTTGGACTGTGCATTTCAGATCATTTGGGTCCATTTAATCCCACCACCAGTGAACTGTGCAGTACTTAGAAAAAGCAGAGAAAAAATTGGAAATAGCAGCTAGACTGAAACTTACAAAGGAGGAACCAAAAAGTTTGCAACTTTTTTGTAGTAAGGAAATGGACACGGGTTATAGCCTCTTGTTAAGCTGTACCTGAAATGTGTTTTTAAACTAGATGCCAGAAAAGCTGTTGAAGGAGCCTTGAGATCAGAGCTCTAGAATAACTTCTAAAACTGCATCTTTCTTGAATGAATATGTCATTTCTTCTAGTTTGTCTTCTCTTTTTTTGATGCAGTGCTGCCTAGAACCATCAGTAGAGCAAGAAGCTTTTGTATGGTGTCACCTTCACTGGGAGGCTGCTGGTGATGCTTGTCTCCAGCCATCCCAAGTCAGAAGTTGGGATTCTCTTTGAAAACTTAAGAATATAGGTTTCCAAAGGAACATTTAGTGTAATTAAGCATAAGTCATTTAAGTGCAGTTCTCTACAGAGCCAAGTAAATTGATCAAGTGATTGTTATTAAAATAGAAGACCCAGGGCTGGGGATTTAGCTCAGTGGTTCCGGTGCCTGCCTTGCAAGCACAAGGTCCCGAGTTCGATCCCTGGAACCAAAAAAAGAAAGAAAAAAAAAAAAGACCCAAAATGAAGGAAAATATTGGAGACAAAGCTTAATGTACACTAGAACAAATTTTTTCTGATAGAATATATTTATGTTATGTTCAAATTTGTACCTAGTTCAGTCTTTTTAGATTAACAAGAAATGGTTTAGTAGTGTTAGGTAATTAGGGTTACTTGTAGTTTTGGGTATTTGTTGTGCCTCCTTGAACCAGATAACAAGTACTGAGGTGCTAACTGTAAATGGGTTAGTGTTCTTGCACCATTCCACCCTCTAAGCGTCTCAGAACCCTTCCATTAAAAGGTGTATAGAATAGAATAAAACCAGCAGTCTCCACTACTTCTTGGAGGGAGAATTGTGTCTAAGATATAGCAAATTGTATTGTAGAATTTAAATCTTAGGAGTCTTCTATTTTACTGTGTTTGGCTTTTGCTGAGTGCTTTGTTTTTGGAGGAGGGACTTTATTTTTTTAAAATGAGACAGTATAATGCACATACTGTAGGGTTCACTGTTTTACAGTGCACGGTTCAGTGGTTTTTGGTTTTTTTTGGTAGTAGTTCCAAGGTTATGCAACCACTGCGACTTTATGGATGCTTTTGAATCACTAGATATTCTCAAAAGTAATGTCTTCAGGACCTCCATAGTAAAGAACTTCCAAATTGCTTTGTGGAGAAGGGTTCATATAGTATTTTATTATAGTAAAGGACTCAATTACTAGAAGGTAAGGTTCTTGATTTGTTTTTAAGACTGAAATGTCTGCAATAACTTCTAATATACAGGTGCTCTTGGGTGTCATTGGGATGCTAAATGGAATTAGGGCAGTAAGCAGATCAGGGATCAGTGGTATTATTCTTCGATTGTCACAGTGCTAAGTACTTTAGTGCCCTTAGTTATTTCTTTCCCTGCCTTGACTTACCGCTTACTAGATTTTGGCTCTTGATTTTATGTGTTTGAATGGCTGGAGTATAAGGATTTAACAAACAAGTGATGACACTAACTACTGTTGTGGTGGGCTGAAGAGCCGTTTAAACTGTTAGAAATTTTGATTGGCCATAAAGTCTTTGGAGCAGATTGTATTTAGCATTGTTAGTACATACATTATTACATAAATCTGTTCTTTGTTCTCACCTTTTCTGAAATTGTATTGTATAGAAAGCAATTAAAACTGATCAGGTCGAGTTAGGGAAATATATAGGATAAATTTTAAGCCTTGATTTGCTTGTTTTTGTTTGCTGGGAGGAATGTCTTAAAAGTGTTCAAATAGGGCCTGGGATTTAGCGCAGTGGTTTCGTCTCCTGCTGCACAAGGACCCGGGTTCGATCCCCGGTACAAAAAAAAAAAAAAAGTGTTCAAATAGAATTGTTTGAGGAGAAAGGACTGTTAAAGAATAGATAACCTTTTGGGGTGAGTTAGCAGTATTAGAATAGAATTTTTGATCTGGAATTTTTTGATTAGATATACATATTTACATCTGGCAATTAATTAACAAGCATTTATCTACTGAATGTAGGATGCTGTGAGGCACTTGGAATGATGTCAAGATGACTAAGTTGTGTTCCTCCAGGAGTCTAGAAAAGGATCAGATGACTAATTTACACTAGTGGAAAATAGTGTATTAAGAGGGCCATACAAAGGTTGTAGATAATTTTCAAAGTTGAGAAGATAAATTGCTCAGGATTCAAGAGCCTCATGTAAATCATTTCAATCTTGTCATCTTAATCATAAAATAAAAGATATCTATTTTATGCTGTTTTTCTGGAATACATTATTTTTTGGTTTTGAGATCTAATTCACCTATAAAATTCTCCCTCTTAGTGTTTCTGTGGTTTTGGTTTTTGTTTGTAGTACTGGGAATGAAACCCAGAGGCTGTTTAGCACTGAGCTACATCCCCAGCTTTTTTTGTTTTTTATTTTGAGAGAGGGTCTTTCTGAGCTACCCAGGCTGGCCTCAAACTTGTGATCCTTCTGCCTCAGTCTCCCAGGTAGCTAGGATTATAGGTGTCCATCGTCACACCTCACTGTTTCTATGTTTTTACTTAAGTTTGCCAGGAATTTGCTGAAGTAGAGCACAAGTTATCTTCTTGCACTACTTACTGTCTCTTTTATACCATAGTTACTGTGATTCTGTCTAATGTGTCTATTAGGCATGTTTGTTTAGAATTGCATCATTCTACCCTCAATTTGTAAAAATCTTTGAGAAGCAAAAATGTGGTCACTCGTGGAAGGTTTTTTGTTGTTCTGAGGTCCTCAGACTATTTAGTTGTCAGTTGTTGATTAATACTAAAGCTTCTTAAGTTTTGTCTTTTCCAGTAGATTTTAACAAAGCATAGCTAAATTATAGATGTATTTTGTCTTTGTAAATGACTTTGTTTGAAGGGGACATGATGGTTACTGTACTCCAGGTGGAATCAGTTTCCCATATAATTCAACTTTTCTTGTGGAGGAAAGAGAAGGGATTTCTCCAGCATCTTTTATTAGCCTAACCCTAGGAGTG